AAAAAAACCGTCGTCTTTACTTAATAATAGACGACCCTTTTTATAAAAAAACCGTCATCTTTACATATAATAGACGACAGTTCTTTCAAAACAACCATGTCTTTACCAAAAAAAGGACACTTGATTTTTAAAAGACGACGCTTGTCATACCTGCTGTCGTTGTTTTTTGGTCAGATTTTAACTCTGAAGAAAAGCTTTTTAATAAGACGACGCTTTTTTATTTGTGTGCGTCGTTATAAAAAAATTCTCAACAGTATCTCCATTTTTTAGTTGTTTAAGTCACTTATCCACGACGGTTTTTTGTTACCGTCGTCTTTTTAAAAACAACGACGGTTTTTTGTTCTACCGTCGTCTTTTTCTGGTCGTCTTTTGCCCTTTTTGTAGTAGTGGTCATACAATGTTATCCTCGGTCGTCCTGCCAAAGGTGATCTGAACTTATTAATCAATATGAGAGCGCTGCTGATTAAGTTCCCTACACCCCATGGGGTCGGCAGCGTCAGAGGAGACTAGGAGTCGGCTCGGTCTTGTTATGCCTCCTCGGTAAAGTTGAAGACCAAGGTGACCTACGAGGCATATTGCGTAGAGACCTACAATGGGGAAACTCCTAGCTCTTCTGAGGTCGTTGATCCAATAGGAGAGATCAGCCCTGTAAACCCGCAATCAGTAGAAGAGCTAGAGCAAATAGCACCCTTTCCCGACCACCCGGATCGGCTCCTAAGGATTGGTTCCCACCTCATGCCGGCAGTTTGCCAGGAACTTGTCCAATTCTTAAAGGAAAATAGCGACGTGTTCGCCTGGTCTCATGATGATATGCGAGGAATTAGCCTGGACGTTATAACCCACCGTCTCAGCATTGATCCACAACATCACCCCGTCCATAAGAAACATCAGGTGTACGACGCCGTCAGGTACGCCGCAATGAAAACGAAAGTGGACAAGCTACCAAAGAACAACTTCATTCGCCCAGTGGACTACCCTAGATGGTTGTCCAATGCTGTCATGGTTTGGAAGACAGAAGATAAGGGGCGAATGTGTGTTGACTTCACCAATCTCAACAAAGCATGCCCCAATGACAGCTTTCCCTTACCAAGAATTGACTAGCTGGTTGACGCCATAGCAGGGCACGAATTGCTAAGTTTCATGGACACCTATTCTGGATATAACCAAATTTGCATGCACCTAGCCGACCAGGAAATCACCTCTTTTATCACCAATAGGGGCACGTATTGTTATCAGGTCATGCCGTACGGACTCAAGAATGCGGGGGCTACCTATCAACGACTGGTCAACCGCATGTTTGCCGACCAGTTAGGCAAGAGCATGGAGGTCTACGTCGACGACATGCTGGTCAAGAGTATTCGAGCCAACCAGCACGTCGCCAAACTAGCCGTAACCTTTGCAATCTTAAGAAAGTATGGAATGAAGTTGAACCCAGCCAAGTGTGTATTCAGGGTCGACTAAGGGAAGTTCTTAGGGTTTCTGGTAAGCCACATGGGTATCAAGGCTAACTCAGAGAAAATCCAGACCCTCATAGGTATGGCCCAGCCCAGGACCAGAAAAGAGGTTCAAAGCCTGACTGGGCGAGTGGCGGCACTGAACTGATTCATCTCTAAGGCCACTGACTGCTGCATCACTTTCTTTAAAGCACTCAAAGGAAATAAGAAGATAGCAGATTGGACACCCGAATGCGCATCGGCATTCGAAAACCTAAAGGTACATATAGGACAGGCCCCCATACTATCTAAACCCGAGGTCAGGGACTTACTATCACTGTACCTATTTGTCTCCCCCTCGGCGGTCAGCTCTGTGCTCACCAGAGACCAGGACAAGATACAGCACCCAATCTACTATGTGAGCAAGGCATTGATTGATACACAGACTCGGTACCCGGAAATTGAGAAGTTAGCCCTAGCCCGATCACCTCGACCCGAAAGCTGCGCCCCTATTTCTAAGCCCACTCTATCTTAATCCTGACTGACCAGCCACTAAGCTTGGTCCTGAGAAAACCAGAGACTTCAGGCCAGCTCATTAAGTGGCCAGTAGAACTGGGCGAATTTGATGTCACCTATCAGCCGCGCATAGCCATGAAGGCACAGGCCATTGCCGACTTCATTTCGAAGTTCACACCACCAGCATACGAAGGCCTACCAAAAACCTTGGAGCCAGTCTCAACCCCAGCACCGACTGGGCAGGATAGAGCCCAGCCCACCGACCTGACCTTGCCACGATGGACCTTATTTGTCGATGGCGGGTCTAACTTGCAGGGGTGCGGCACATGTCTCATTTTAATATCCCCTGGCAGAATCACGGTGGAATATGCCTTCCGGTTCCGATTCCAGGCATCAAACAATGGGGAAGAATATGAAGCCCTCCTTGCAGGCCTGCGCTTGGCAAAATAACTGGGGGCTAAACACATCATCATCAACAGTGACTCACAACTGGTGGTTAATCAGGTCACTGACGAGTATCAGGCTCGAGGGCAGCATATGACCGCCTATGTCCAGAAGGTTAAGGGACTCCTCTCTTCCTTCCGATCACATGCCATCATCCAGATTCCACACAGCAAAAATACTCGAGTCGACTCACTGGCTCGTCTCGCCTCGGCTCTCGATATCGAGCACACCCGGAACATCCCCATCGAGTACCTAACCGAAAAGAGCATCGTTCAGACGAATTGCACTAGTATGGCTGTAGACGAGCCACTAACCTGGATGACCCCCATATAGGCGTTCCTCACCAATGATGCACTCCCCCAGGACAAGATCCAAGCTCGGAAAATCCAGGCCAGGGCCACACGCTACACTATCATAGGCTAAAAACTGTACAAGCGGGGCCACTCCTTGCACCTATTGTTGTGTGTCAACCCAGAGAAGGGATTGGAAGCCCTCTAGGAAAACCATGAGGGAATATGTGGCGATCATGCTGCGACCCAGTCTATGGCAAACAAGGTGGTGCGACGAGGATATTTATGGCTCATACCATCACTATCGCAGTAGTTGGGAGTTCAACAGGGACCAACCCTAATTCACTCCTATTCTGATAGCTGTTCTAAGTGTGCAGGTCTTCTACAGAGTGCATCCCAACCCAGGAGACCTTGTATGAGCCCTGACTTCAATCCTAATCTGGGCTATGCATCATTAGAGAAGGATATGTGGTTTACAAGTGTACATTAGTATAGTAATGGAGCTTGGTTTGGTTTTCTGGTAAAACTGCTATGCTCTGTCTACTTATTGTCTTGGAACTTTGCTTCTTTCAGTGTCTCTCGTTGCTTTTATGGTTGGAAGAACGCTACGAGACTGTATACACACGCCATCCTGGTTTCCAAAAAGGATCTAAGCCACTCCTTGCAGTAGATAACCCATTCCCAATGGAACTTCCAGAAAATCTTGTTGGGGAGAAATGGGCCCTTGTCCAATTGCCCTTTTCAGGTAAAGGACTTGCTAATGAAGGTAAAGGACTTGCCCTAACCATCCAATATTTCTTTTTAACATTTCCTGTTCCCACACTAAATCTTTTTGCAGTTTTGTCATGACAATTTCTGTTTCTTTCCCCTTTTCTTTTCAAATTGCACAAGGAAAAGAAAGGCCGCGCCCAACTTGTTTATTGTATTTGTATTGCTTTTGTATTGCTTGTTTATTGCCACTTTATTGCTTGTTTATTGCTTTTGTATTGCTTTTGTATTGTATGTCTATTGCCACTTCATAATCTACGTGACATTACAATGGAGTGGAGCCTTGATTTTGGGTTGGTTTTCTTAATTAATATAATTTGTTGCAGGGAAAGCAACTATGAGTTTGATTTATAAAAAGGACCATGACGTCCTTAATGGAATTACATTCTTACACTAATAGATAATCAATAAAAAAGCAATAATGGAATCGCATTCTTACACCTTAATGGAATCACATTCTTACTCCAATAGCTGAACACGAATAAATAAAATTGAAGAGATACATATATGGTGCTTGTTGTACCTTATTTATATGATAACGAACAATGATCTAGCATTTTCCTTTACAAAATAACCTTATACAATCAAGCGTTTTCTTTTACAAATTATCCATACAAGTTCATTCACAAGAAAGACTTGAAAAAACAGGCGATAAGAAACAAATATAAGTGCAATAACCAGGCAATACAACAACACTACAATGGCAATACGATAACAATACAAATGCAATAGGAGAGCAATTTAATGGCAAAACAAAAACTCCACATTCCCACTATTATTTCATTCCACATTCCCACTATATATTCATAATCTACAACATATGACAAAAAGGACGTGATGTCCTTAATGGAATCACATTTTACACTCCTATATCGTCAAAATATACCCTCAAGAAAGGAATGGGCGGAGAGGTTTCTGTAAAAGTTCAGGTATAATGATCTTCCTCTATTCAAAAAATAACAATCATATCTGTTTTTGCATAATGATTTTTATTTTGGGTCATTTGAGCATAGAATCCTTCAGGATTTGAGTAGAGTTCTGATAATTCCTTGTGATGTTCTGAGACCACAATTGAACTTCATAATTTAACCCAAAATTTTCATAGAATTGAAAGACACATACCCTGACAGTGACATAACCAGCTGGTATCCGACCAATTACGGTTGCCAGGAAGAAAATATGATAGGGTACATCCACTATTGGTGAAGCAAGATTAATAAACGTGTTTGGCAATCGTAGAAACAACATGTAGTTCAAAAGTCCCTCTCTTCTTTTAGCCACCTGGAAGATAAAATAAATGACTCACTCCTATTTTTGAAGTTAGTATCAATGAGAGATATGTAGACATTTGAATTTACCTGGTTTTGGAAAAACTGCAGCTTGTCAGGCCAAAGAGAGAAGACAATGGGCCTCCCTATCAACTTTGAGAAGAATAACCAAAACTATGTATTTCTTGGAGAAACCAAGCAAAACTGTGAGAACAATAATGCACCTTATAGATTACATAATGTAGATAATGAATATCACCTTTATTTGTTCTTTTGGTTACATATACAAAACTGAGTTAACCACGCAAGATATAAATGTTGGAATTTATGAAATAGAAAGGAAAGAATGCGGGCGAAAACTCATCAGTCGTGCAGAAGATGGAATGTGGTGTGAAGTGGCGGGGCCAAGTCTGTGACATTGAAGAAAATGTAGAAATTAGAAGACAACAGAGTGGTAACCTAGGATTCTACCTTCACGAGCTTTTCTTTCATGCACATGAGTTGCGTATGAGTTACTTCAGCCATTAGTCCGACAATCCTAAAGCCCAACGTCAACTGCACTCTCCTCACCTTCAATCTAATAGCTGAAGTAATTCATGTGCCCTTAGCTGCAACTAACCCATGTGCATGAGAGAAAACCTCCTCTACTCTGCTTATACAGAGGAAATAGTTGAACACTTGAATTAAATTTTTGATCAAGACAAAGGAGAGACACAATAAGAGCAATATAATATGTTGATGATATCCACAATTCATGCACTTATTGTTGTTGGATATACCGTGACGATACAGAAACACTACAGAAAGCATATGATGCATGTTTTCAGAAGGAAAAGCCAAATGATAAAAAGCTGTATCTCAAAGCTGCAACAGTATGAGTGTCTGATCTAGCTAATCAGCGGCCATCCTTAAGCTTCAGCTTCAGTTTCAGATAAATCGTATCAATATTGTTTCAGCATTTAACTATATATGTATATGCAATGTTGAATGTTGGGTGGTGTAAATTAGGGGAACTGAAGTTTGACAACAAGATGCCTTTAAGGCATTTCATCGAACGGGGAGAAAAGCAATGACAATTCCAGGAAGATAGTAGGGCCTAAGCTTCAAACCCTCCAAATATAAAGGATACAAAAGAGCCAGTGAGGGCAATCACATGTGGCTGCATCATTCACAGTCACTTGTAAGTATTGCTGAAATTCCAAAAAGATAAAATGCCCAAACACGTAAATTTCTCAAAACCCACTAACATTGACAATGCATTACAGAAAACGTGATGAATCAACGTATGCAGAGATACAGATAAGAACAGTTGATTGAGTTCCTAAATTTGTCAAATTACGCTCATAATCTAACACTTCAACCCAATCCAAATCAGAAAAAGAGAATAAAGAAATAAAAAAATAGAGTTCTTACTCTTTCTTAGTCTCCTTCTGGCTCTGAGCTTTGTGGGTTGTTGTGAAGGACATGTGAGCATTTACCGCTAGACGGTGCATATGGGGCAAAACGTTCCGCAATATCACAATTTACAGGCGAATTGATGCCATAGACATAGAGCTGCTGTTCCACGCAGAAGAAAAGGAAGAAAGAACAAGTGAGTTTGGTAAAACGAGTAAATGGAAGTGATTCTATCAATAATAGCTAAAATTTAACCTCGAAATTCATAAATGTCAATTTTTATAAAAACTTTCAAATATATCCAGAAACCTAGTAAATAGATAAAAATACCCTCAAAATTTTTATTTTTATTTTTTGGATTAAGAATACCCTCAAAATTTAAATAACCTAAAAACATAGTTCATCATCATGAGGACCATCTGTTCACACCATATCAGTTTTTATTCGATGTGTCTTCTCTGCTTCACAAGCTTATATTGCCATCTTGCTTAGAAACTTAATTCATGTTGTGATTCGTGATGGGAAGAGTGACAGAGAGATTTACAAGAAACTTGAAGAGGATTTTGGGGAGACAGTACTTTGTTCCCCAAAGTTTGATCTGCAGACTGTACTTGCGGTGTCACCGCTTCTGGTTGCTACTTTTGCTGGTGTTAGAGGTGTTCCATTAACCCCAAATGAGAAACAAACCATGTTAAACCTCCTCACACCGCCGCCTTCACGAGGTAATAGTCCCTCGTGAGGGATAGAACAATGATGTATCCTCTTCCACAGGCTTTCTTTTAATTTTTCACTTTGAACTTAGGGTTGAAACTAAGAAACTATGGAACAACAGTGTGCCTTCTTCCAGATCAGACATTCTTTGTATCAATTCAAAGAAGATCAAAATGATTTGTTTTATTTATATTTGTGATTGATGCCTACACTACTACATTTTAGTCCTTGCGCGGCGGATTTTTGCGCGACGATGGATATTTCGTCGCGCAAAAGCGGTTTGCGCGACGGGTAACACAAAGCATAGCGCAATACTGTGCGACAAAATAATTCGTCGCGGAAAGAACTTTTGCGCGACAAAAATCGAAATCGTCGCATAAAGGCGTTGGGAAAACGCGCGGAAAAATTTATTTGGCGGTGAAATTTGCTCGACAGTATATATCGTCGTGCAAAGATATTTTATGCGACAATTTAAAATATTCGTCGCGCGAAAAACTCACAACTGTTGGTAGTAATTGGCGCCAAAAAATTGCGCGACGGCATGAGAGTTCATGGCGACGAGAGTTCCGTCGCGCATAGTTTATGGCGACGAATGTTTGAGCGACGGATAAAATGTTGGCGTCGCGCAAAAAATCAATGTCGACAGCACCTTGCGCGACCGGGAAATATCTTTTGCGCGACGATAAAGTGGTTTGCGTGACAGACTATGTACGACGGAACAAATTGTGTTCGTCGCGCAAGGGACCAATCTTGCGCGACGGAAATTTTTATTTGTCGCGCAAGAGCGTCGTCCTATACAAAGATCAGTTTGGCCATGGCAGAGGCAAACTGCAAAAAAAATTGCAGTTTGCCTCAGCCCGTTTCTCTGTCTGTCTCGAGCGGTATTGGCCTACAAAACTCGTCATTTTCATTTCGTTTATGAGTTGAGCTACTTCTGCCTCTGGTACGGTCATTGGGTATGCATATTTTGTCGTTAGTGTAAAATTTTTACTGTAAATTCATACTAACGCCATTAATTTCCTTGTATATAGGAAAATTATATGTGATTAGCGATTGGTGAAGAACGATTTAGAAGGTATTTTCGTTGTTTTATAATATAAAATTTATTACATTATGTTTATATTGATTTATGAAATTATGTTTATAATATGTTGTTAAATTATGCATGTACGTTAATGTACGAAGTTAATTGAAATTAACTTCGTACATTTTTTTTTGGTAAAGCTTAGTTCCTATTCGAGGTTAGTTGGACCGCGCATGAGTGGGTAAACCACGACTACGGTCCAATTAATTCTTGAATTGTCCCATATTTTGGACAGTTTGGAAATGCATAGTCATGTCGCGTAGTTTACAGCTACAGGATTAAGTTTCGATTGTGGAGATTTCGGTGTCATCTCGGTACGTTCTTCGGGTGGTACGTAGGTATTTTATATCTACGGTACACTTCAAGAACTGTACCGAGATGCTGCCGAAATTCATCCACGTCGAAATCTAATCTCATGTAGCTGTAAATTAC